CCTCCCTTTAGAATTGTTTTGTCAATTCTAGCATTTCTGTTAACCCAGAAGAGAATTGTGCCTTCTGGGTCAGGCGAGCGTAGAGAGGTTGTTTTAGCTGGCACATCCTCCACATGCATAAAGTCTTAGACAATTGGCATTTGAGGTCCTAGCACCAGGTTCATTGCATGATGCTGAAATAGCCACTTCCTGTGCAGAAAGACTACTGTACGCTCTGTGAGTGATCACCTAAAGTTTTTGTGACTCCCAAGGGGACCAACTGGATATCCTTTTGCAGGGAAAGCACTGTCTTTCCACCAAGTTGCTCACATCACAGAGACCTTGACACATGCTCAGAGCACACCCATATACGATGCTCAAGGTACTTCTCTGCAGATGAGCACAGAGGCATCGCAACAGGAGCCAGAGTGCTCTGCTATGGAAAAGCATCATTACTCTCTGCCGTAGCAGGTGGTGCTGCCCGCAGCGCTGCTCCTTGATGCCTGCATGGAGAAGTCAAGGACAGAGATCTGGAACAGACACAGTGCCAGCTCAGAGGGCAGAGAATTGTGTCCAGAGCTGTCTTACAGAGTTGATCAGACACCTATGAAACCCTGCAACCCACCCTGAAATTATACTCAGTGATAATTTTGAAAGTGACACACTCTTAGAATAGCACACAATTACAGGCCAAACCAAGACCCAGGGATTAGTAGATGCTCAATAAATGTCAGCGACTGATTGATAAAAAAGATTACCTGGTTTCAGTATAACTGATTTCAGCACAGAAGGGGAAACGAGTCCTAAAGATCAGACAACACAATCACCTTTCATGTTGACCTTCTAGACATATCGTTGCAAAGCAGAACTTAAAGTGCTATTTGTTTAAACATCATTGACTGTATTTGTATTAGAAAAGTTATTCATACTCAGTGTGGAAAATTTGGAAAGCAGAGAAACATATAAAGAAGAAAGTTTAAATGAACCAAATTCCCCAAACCTCAATGATAAACATGGTTAATATTTTGGTATATCTCCTTCCAGATGAGTAGGTAAATCCAGTTTTATATCCAATATTCATTTGTTTGTTGACTATTTGAATTTCTTTTGGGGAGAGAGAGAAATGCTTATTTAAGTTTTTTTGTCCATTAAGAAAAGGATGATTTGTCTTTATGTTGATGAATTATAAGTTTTTAAAATATATTCCAGATACTGGACCCTTATCAGATATATAATTTGCAAATACTTTCTCTGATTCTATAGGTTTTCTTTGAACTTTCTGGATAGTGTCCTTTGATACACAAAATACCTTTAATTTTTATGAACTTCAGTTTATCTTTTTTTCTTCTTTTTTGTTTATTATGTTTCAGGTATAATATCAAAGAATCCTTTTTCAAATCAAAGGTGATAAATATATATTCCTGTGTTTTCTTCTAAGTGTTTTATAGTTTTAGCACTTATACTTAGGTCTTTGATCCACTTTGGGTTAATTTTTGCTTATGATGTGAGGTAAGGATCCAACTTTATTCTTCTGCCCCAGGTGTTGTAGTACCATTTGTTTAAGAGGCTATATTCTTTCTCCAGAATGGTCTCAACACCCTTGTTCAAAATCAATTGACCACACCTGTATGAATTTATTTCTGGGCTCAATTCTACATCAATGATCTATATGCCTATCTTTATGCCAATACCACACTGTCTTGATTAAGTAACTTTGTATGTATTTTAAAATTAGGAAGTGTGAGGCCTCCAACTTTTTTTTTCATGATTGTCTTGGCTTTGTGGCTATTTATCATTTCATATGAATTTTACAATCAGCTTATCCATTTCTGTAAAAATGGTATTTCAGATTTTTATAGAGATTACACTGAATATGTAGCTTGTTTTGTGGAGTATTGCCATCTTAACTATATTAAATCCCCCAATTCATGAGCATGGGATATCTTTCCATTTATTTAGATCTTCTTTAATTTCTTTCAGCAATATTTTATAGTTTCTGAGTACCAGTCCTGTACCTCCTTAGTTAATACTTATTATTACCTGTCATATTATTTGTAATGCTTTTCTAAGTAGGACTGTTTTTAAATATATGTATATTTTTATTGATTTTAGAGAGACAGGAAGGGAGGGGGAGAGAGAGAAACTGATGTGAGAAGAGAATATCCTTGACTGCCTCCTGTCCACCCCCTACTGGGAATTAAGACCAAAGCGTGGGCATATGCCCTGACCAGGAATGAACCAGCGACCTTCTGGTGCATGGTGATACTCAACAGACTGAGTCACACTGACCAGGGTGCATGCCTGGGTTGCAGGCTTGATCCCAAGATCTTACATAAAATATTGATTAGCTTATGTGAAGTAAACTTTCTGATAATCTCAACTTTGACTTGTTGGTATTAGATACTCTCTATTTTTTTTAAAAAAAATATTATGATTCCAAAACAATTTTTTTCTTTTTTTTCTTCCAATATTGACTCATTTAACCAGTCCAAAGAGTGCTTTTCCTTTACATCTGAAATACTGTGGTTCCCTTTTAAAAATACTTACATTGGCTCTTTTCCCCCCTCTCTACATCTGAGCCAGGAGACATCTCTTTTTCAGTATACAAGATCATGGTGTGCTGTTGTCCACCATGTGTGCTGTTACACTCCCCCATTGGCCTTGCTCTGGAAGGGTGATTACAATGCAAAGGCTCTTGCTAAAATTCTCTGTCCAGCACTCACCCATGTAATATGCAGCAGGGCGCAGGAGGGGTCTCCTGCTTCTAATGCGAGGCTATCTGGCAGTGGGGACAAGTATGTGCCTTGGAAAACTGGAAATGTTTGTACTGTACATGTGCCCTGAGCCACATGATGGCCTGTCTCTCATTGCTGCAGCAATGTCCTAGGATGCAGTCCCCCCCCCCCCCCGCCCCACTCTGACCCTCACTGTGCCACCCTAAATGGGGTCTAAATTGGGTTTTAGAATAGAGTCAGGCTAAGAAGTGCAGATTCAAGGATGAAATGAATAGCTTTGCTTCCCCTCCCCACCCCCGCAAAAAAAAAAGTAAAAGACTTATAAAAGGGAATGAGCTGACTGTTCGTGTCATCATAAAGGCCTGAGCCTCTGATATCAGGCCAATGTATTTATCAGAGCTTCCCGTACACACTTGTCCACTAGTAAGTGCCTCACATGTTTTGGTTATACAGTCCTTACAACCACTCTGTTATTACATTTTACAGATCATGAAATGAGGCACAAAAGTGATAAGTAACTTTTTCAGGTCACCCAGTTACTGAGTGGTGAGGTCAGCATTGAATCCACAGCCTGACTCTTCTCCTTTAACCACTTTATGTTATCTGTCTATCTATCCACCTACCCATCTGTTCACCCATCCACCCATCCATCCATTCATCCATCTATTCATCCATCCATCCATCCATCCATCCATCCATCCATCAGTCCATATACTTACCAATCTATCCAGACAGATAACAGATATAGACATGCACCATTATGTACACACACACACACACACACACACACACACACACACACACACACCAGCGTCATTTCCTCCTTTACTAGTCCTTCTGCCTCTCCCCTGCACAGCTGAGCTCTGGTAGAGGATACATTCTCCTCGGGGTCTGACTGGTTCTGAATAACACTCCTAGTTTCCTTTGATCTTTTGAATTTTGGGTATTTTTGTGAATATTTCAATGAGGAAAATGAGCTCAGCACCACTAGCTCTCATCTGAACTCAGAAGCCCTCATAGAATTATTTGCATGTGCACTTGGTCTTACGACTGTGCTTATTTTACTGATGGAAAAAGCCCAGAATGACTAGGCAACTCCCCCTAGATGTAGACCTAGCGATGGCCCAGCAGGGTGAGAGCCTGTCCTTACCTGGTTTGTTCCCTACTACGTATAGCCTGGTAAACTGTTCAATGCAGCTCTTTCCTAACCTGCTCCCGAAGGTCCGTACATCCTCAAAAGCCACTGGCAATATTTGGTTGGATGTTATTTAGCCTGTTTGTTTTCTTCTTACAGGGAGGATAGAGTGCAGACCCTTAACTGAGGTTTTATTTCTAATTAGGCTGGGTGACAGTTGTCTTCGTTTGAGCTTTTATTTGACATCCTTCTAATTTTTTTAAAAAACCATTGTTTTACTCTTGACAGACCTGTTATGTGTCAGATGTGAGACAAATGTACACGTAGAGGCAGCTTCTCTAATCAGCTGTATTTGCCTCAGACTCCTGAGGTTATGTAAAAACCAAAAGTGCACACACCAGGACACGCACCTCACCATAAACTTCTCCAGTGTATTTAATTGATTTCTGGGTGAGACTGTTTCAAAGCATGTGATTTGTTGAGCATGTGGCCTTAATGATGCCCTTGGTATCTCCTTCCAACATAGAACTTGTTTTGTGTGGGTTTTTTTGTTTATTTGGTATCTTTTAGAGAAAGAGAGAAACATTGAATGCTGTTCCATTGTTCAGCCCATTCATGCATTCATTGGTTGCTTCTTGTATGTGCCCTGACTGGTGATCGATCCCCTAACATTGGCATATTGGGACAATGATGCTCTAACTAACTGAGCTACCCAGCCAGAGCCAACCAACATGGAAGTTTTGCCATTGTTGGGGGAGACAGCTTCTAGGCACATGGGCAACAGGGCCTCAGGGGCAGCCCTGCGTGGGTTAGCAACCTGGGCCAGGTGCATTTCATTCCACAGGTAAGCAGTGTGTACAGCCCTGGCAACACCAATGATGGGAAACACCAATCATTTTGACTTTAGCCCTTTAATAAAAACCCTCTGAATTGGTTTTTAAGTCGGGCTCTCTTGGCAGAACCAAGTAGGAGAGAAAATAATGGAATAATTGGAGGCTGCTGTCTTTTCACTTCCCACATAAAATTATTTGATGAGACAGGCCAGAACTTTAAACATGAATGCCAAGAAAAGTTGTAATTTGGATGCCAGTTGTCATGGCTTTGGGGTGTGTGCTTAAAGGACTTCCCCTGCCTCTCTCTGTCTCTTGCAGACATACTTCAATGACAATATCCTTACCCTGATCCGGACCCTGGTGACAGGAGGAGCCACGCCGGAGCTCGAGGCTCTGATTGCGGAGGAGAATGCGCTTCGAGGGGGCTACAGCACCCCCCAGACGCTGGCCAACAGGGACCGCTGCCGCGTGGCCCAGCTAGCGCTGCTGGACGGGCCCTTTGCGGACTTGGGGGTGAGTGCACCGTGCAGGGGTCACCTCAGCCTGCTGTCTGCTAGCAGCTTGGTCTGAATGAACTGGGTGCCAGACAGTGGCAAGCTAAGCATCTGTTTTTTCTACCTTCTACAGCAGTGGTTCTCAACCTTCCTAATGCCGCGACCCTTTAATACAGTTCCTCATGTTGTGGTGACCCCCAACCATAAAATTATTTTTGTTGCTACTTCATAACTGTAATTTTGCTACTGTTATGAATCGTCATGTAAATATCTGATATGCAGGATGTATTTTCATTGTTACAAATTGAACATAATGAAAGCATAGTGATGAATCACAAAAACAATATGGAATTATATATGTGTTTTCCGATGGTCTTAGGTGACCCCTGTGAAAGGGTCGTTCGACCCCCAAAGGGGTCGTGACCCACAGGTTCGCGACCCACAGGTTGAGAACCGCTGTTCTACAGTAAATAGGAAGTGATGTTTACAATTTACTGTGTATCAGGCCCCGTGCTTTACATGTAATCATTCATTTTGACTCTCATGGCAGCCCTTAGATGTAGGTTCTATTATCAGACACTCTAAGAAAACTGAGGCTCGGAGAGACGGAAGACTGGCCCCATCGGGAATTTGCATCAGGAACCCTGCCTTCAGAGCCTGTGGCTTCCTCATTCCCCTCAGGTATCTCCTACCAAGAGACAGAAGACAACAGGTGATGCCAACATGCAGTCAGTTACCCAGAGGCCGACCACCACTGTGCTCTAGCCCCGTAACCAAGCCCAACTGTACATGAATAGCCCATGAGGAGCTTTCACAGACTACTCCTGCCATGCCGAGCCACCAGGTTGCTGAGATTCGGTGTCTGCATAGGACCCAGGCACTGGTGGATTTCAAAACCCCACCACTAATGATGTGCATCCACCACTACCGGCCAAACAAATAGCATCTCCTGTAGACCCGTCAATGTCTCTAATTCCAGATGCATGTTTTCTAATACCTGAGGCTGGACTCAGCCACTCTCCTCCACTCCTTCCCTGCTGTAGAGGGGACCAGTGCCAGCCCTCGGGGAGAAGTATGCGGTCTCCACTCTTATTCCCAGCCCTGCTCCAGGGATGCGTTCAAGGGGTGGAGCCACAAGTCCTGAGAGCCCATAAACCCACTGCACAAACAATAGTACCGCTCAAGAAAAGGGTTGCTTTCTCCGTTCCTTCTGAAACCCTGATACCAACTTGTACCGTATAGTAGTTCGCTTATGGGCAGGGACCTATTAGACTGGGCATTTTTGAAAGGCAGCTTCCACAGTTAGTGGCTCTTTTAACTATCACCTACTTACTGATATTTTTAAAGGACCAAGACTTTAAATAATGGTAAAATCGGGCTCTGTGTGTGTTCTCTGATATGCCTACATGGAAATCCCAATGACAGGGAGGACAGTGGCAGTCACTTTATGGCCAGAGAAGTCATTCTTCGGTGCCCTTCCTATAATGATAACACCAACCTGAAGCCACCTGGCTGCCCAAAGCCAGCATTGCTGAGTGAACGATTGAGCTTTAACATTCCACATGGGGCTGCAGACCCCGGGAAGGTGGCTGTGAACTGATTAGGACTGTGAATTCCGGTTATTCAGCCCGCAGACCGCCAGCTCCTGGGGAAACATTTTCCCTTCCACTCTTGCTGTCTCTGAGGTCTGTAAATTGTGCTTTTCACACAGTCCTTACCTGGACAAGTCTGTCACCATAGTACCTGGTGGGGTCTTTTCTTCTTGCAGTGATTTTAATTATCACTCGAGCGGCTTTGACGACACGGTCAGATCACAGTGATTGCAGCCACGCTGCGGCTAAACATAATCACCAACTTGCCGAGCTGGTTTCTTCTCCCCAGCTAATGTGCATCTGCAATCCTCAAGCTTCACACCCTCCAAGTGAGGGAGTGGTGCCTTCTCCTCAGAGCTCTTGCTGCTACAGTGGAAAGCTCGAGAGAACCGAGGGAAAACCTCCTTATGATCAGCATCCAAAAAAATCACCGATTTTGGGTGTAGGCTGTTAACCACATTGCCTTTTACAGCCACAGTCCCTTGGCACAGACCCTCCAACTCAGGAGACACCAAAACAAGCATTCCTGAAAAGGCCCGTTCCCCCTGGACCTCTATGTGCAAGCCAATAAAAACGATGCTTCTCTCCATTGTCTGTTGTCTCCCAGGATGGCGGTTGTTATGGTGATCTGTTCTGCAAAGCTCTGAAAACGTATAATATGCTTTGTTTTGGAATTTACCGGCTGAGAGATGCTCACCTCAGCACCCCCAGCCAGTGCACGAAGAGGTAAGTCTACTTCTACTCTGCTCTCCCACCGAAATGCAGAGACATAAATGACCCTCCTGCACCCTGCGGAAGGCAGAGGCCTGTATACATGCTCTCAGCAAGCAAATCACTCTCCTCACATGCGACCCAGCACTGAGTTTGGAGGTTATGGGAAGCTTTTTTCTTCAATTACTAATAGCAGGTGTGAAGACATTGGGGGAGAATTCAGGTTTTGTAGGATAGTTCTACCACCTAATTACAAACATTTGAATAGGAGAACTCCTCCAAACTCGAGCCACTGGAATAATCCTGTTGGTACCTAATGTAGAGATATTTCATACTGCTAGTATTTAAGGTAAATGATTCCTTCGTCATCTCTTAGACGCTTATATTTTTACTTAGTATATTTTTAATTGACTCACTCATTCCCTTTTATATATTTACTTTAACAAAATTATATACTTATCACCACAAGCAGAAAAATGTATGCGAGTTATATTTTTCTAATATGCATTAAGATAAATTTGTAGCAGCCCCATATTAAAAGGACATCCTAGAATGATCAAAATCGGGGTGTGTACCTATATCCCAGGTAACAGTGCTATAGAGTTGAGTGTTTCTCAGCCTTGCTTGCATATTAGAATCACTGGGGGTGCCTTTAAAAACAATACTCAGATTAGTCTGACTTAACCTGTCTGGACTGAAAATAACATTGTTTAATGCCCAGAGATTGCTGTGGATAGCCAGGGTTGAGAATGACTGCTGTAGCCAGTGGGTTCTCAAAGTTCAGTGAACATGAGACTCACCTGCAAAGCTCACTAATCCACAAATTGCTGGACCCCATGCCCAGAGTGTCTGATTCAGTAGGCTTGGGGTACGGTTGCTTAAGAATTGGCAATTTTAAGTTCCCAGGTAATGCAGATATCTCTGGCCTGGGGACCACACTTTGTGATCCACGGCTGTCAATGAAACAGTGATTATTTTTTTTAAAAGTCATGTCTGGTGCGAAGCAGAGAAAGTCTGATCACACCAAGGAGCACAGTAAAAGCAGGACTGACTCATGGGCGAGGAGGTGTTTTATGTTCTTCATTTAGCCAAATCCCAACCAAAGTAGCTTTTTAAAAGGCAAAGGGTGAGGAAGGACTAAGGAGTTGCTACATTATGGTAAGCAAAGATCCTGGGATGTGTGCCTAGGCCTGTCAGAACGTTCTAGAATGAAAGACACAGTGCAGTCCATGCAACCACCTGCGTGCACTTGGGCTACTCAGGATGGGAAGTAAACCTGACATTGTTGACAGGGACCCTTAGATCACAGGCAGCACAGTTTGGTTTTTCCATTACCGGCATTGATTCAGCTTCTTGGGGTGTCAGGACTCATGGCTGGTCTCCTCTGTTGAGCTAAATAGAGGAAGATTTAGTTCAACTCGGAAGATAACGTTTAAAGCTTTGGACCAACCATCAGTCCACCTTCCAGATGGTCTGGTAGAGCTGAGGAACCAGGCAGAGTCAGGTGAAATCTCCGCCCAGCCCTCCTCACCCTGTGACCTCTCTGTTCTCCCCGGCCAGGTATGTCATCACCAACCCCCCGTACGAGTTTGAGCTCGTGCCGACGGACCTGATCTTCTGCTTAATGCAGTTTGACCACAACGCCGGCCAGTCCCGGGCCAGCCTCTCCCATTCCTCCCACTCGTCCCAATCCTCCAGCAAGAAGAGCTCCTCCGTTCACTCCATCCCGTCCACAGCAAACCGACCGAACCGGCCCAAGTCCCGGGAGTCCCGAG